TGCTCTTCACAAATGAAAACAATTCAAACCCAGAGAGAAAACAGTCAGCCGATGTCATGCGTTGTGCATTAACCCTTAAATGCACAAATGGCTGTAAGACAGGAAGCTGCAGTGGGTTGATTTTGGCAGCAAAATCTGAGCTTCCTCCCACCTGCTCACACTTCCAGGGCTCGTTCTGCCCACTCTCTGACCGAGGCTGTAGGTGCTTCTCAAGCAGCCTTACTGTTAGATGCGAGATATACTGGAAGAGCTCAAGGCTGCTGCCCACAACAGCTGCACCAGCTCTAGCAAAGGCCTCTGTGACAGCGGAAGGTCTGAGTCAGTTCGCTTTGTACACAACCCCCTCTTACCTGTCAAAGTGAGAGGGCCCGAGTTAAACAGGACACCTGGACACAAGAACTGAGTCGGAGGTGCTGAGACGAGGGGCTTCCATGCAACACTAGGGATGTAATGATTAACCGCGAGCCGGTTGAAAATCGATTCAAATATGTGACGATTCAAATCGGTTGAGATGCTAAACAAATCGATTCATTTAGGGGTAGTTTATGAATCCATGTCTGAGGGGAACTTGCTGTCTTTAGAAAAGTTTAGATGCAGGTAGGCCTGTCGCAATAATCAATATATCGACTTATCGCGCAATATATGTACATGACCTCAATAATTTTTGGTGACGCAATATATTGCGAATCGTGAAATCAAAATCGTGAATCGAATCGAATCGTGAGTTGAGTGAATCGTTACATCCCTATGCAACACATCAGGGCTGAAGTGAAAATCGGTTAACAGTGCAAACCCACAGTTTACATGAAAGAGCTGCACAGGCAACGAGAGAGCGATTTCATCATATGTGGTAAACACTTTGCGACTGAGTGTGAGATACAACGAGGAAGGTCTTAACATGGAACTCAAAACCAAGGAGATGGCCGCAGTTCATGAGAAAGATATCGATTCCACGTTCTTTTTCTATTAAAACTCAACCGAAGTGCTGGAGTTTCATCTTTATCTAACTGCACTTTATCTGATACCACAGAAACAAGAACTAGCACACAATTCAGTTTATGTGAATCACTCCGCTGTAGATGTTTCTTATCAAGTTATCGCAAAGATTCACATGAAACTGAGTGGTGACGTTTTTGAATCTTACATTTACTGGTCATGTACATGTATTTTAAAGTGGTCCTACTGTGCTTTTACACTTTTTCAACTTTAGTTAAAGTGTAATATTGCTCTTTAAACATAAAAAAGATCTGCAAGGTCACACAGCTCAAAGTTCACTCCAAAGAGAGGTGTGCTCTTTCTCAGAAAACACTTTTCAAGCACTACAACAAACGGCTCGTTCGGACTACAGTGTGCTTCTTCCAGATATTGTGAAGTCACAATGTTACTCATTTAAATAATGGAATATGCAAAAAAGGGGGTGTGGCCTGGTTGAGCTGAGCCAGAGAGTGTAAAAACAAACAAACAAGGGGCGTGACTTTTCCGGAACACACTCTTAACCAATCACAAAGCACTAGGCCAGCTAACCAATCAGAGCACATTTCATATTTTGGAAGGAGGGGTTTCATCGAAACAGGGACTAAACAGCGCGTTTGAGACAGACTGGGAAGAGAGGTGCTGCAATAATGTAAATTATTTTAGCACATCCCAAAAACTAAATCAAGATTTCGTAAAAGGGCATAATAGGACCCCTTTAATCCTTGTAGGCCTAAACATTTGGTTTTCTGTGATTAATTTCAAGCTACATTGTTGTCATGTGAAAATAATTGGAAAATCATATGCAACTTTTTCAACAGCAAAATTGTGTCAGAGTTTCATTACAGCTGTATAAATCCCAGGTATTATGAAAAAAAAACAAAAAAAAACACTTTTTTAATGAAAAGGTTTATAATGTAACATTTAATGAAAAATATAAATTTTCTGGCCATTAAAAATACTGTTAAAAATAACATTTATATGTCTTTAAATGTATAATTTTTTGTTGCAAGTTAAAGGGATAGTTCACCCATGAAAATGAAAATTCTGTCTCATTTACTCACCTTCAAGTTGTTCCAAACCTGTATTAGTTTCTTTCTTATGTTGAACATAAAATATTTTGAAGAATGATAGACAACCAAACAGTTGCTGGTAGCAACTAGGGAAGGGCATTCCAAGCAAAAATAATATTTGAAAATCGCTGGGTATTATTCGACTATTATTCGAAAAATCGCACCCCTCCCCCGCATGCACGCACAAACACCCATAAACAGAGAGAGAGGGAGAGAGACAGGATTCAAGCTTTCAATCTGTATGATAAACTGTTTAATTCAGAAGATAGGCTACCTTAACTCAAGCCATATAATGATTGTAACGTGCTGAAACATATTAATTAGGGCTGCACGATAAATCGCATGCGATATTTAACGCGCATCTTGTCAGAAAAGCTGGTTCTGTAATCAGCGGTAAATCTCCATCACGTGCGTGCTTTCACATTGAGCAGCATTAACTACACAGAGCCGTTGTTCACTGACGAGCTGCGCTTGTAAATTAAAAAGTAATGCGTTACTTTACTAGTTACTTGAAAAAAGTAATCTGATTACGTAACTCGCGTTACTTGTAATGCGTTACCCCCAACACTGCTTATGACAATCGCTTATTACGCGCGCTTGTTTTTTACTTTCACTTTCGAGATTCGCAATCACACGTACGGAGCAGCACTCAGCAGTACTTACCACACATTTTACAAGATTAGATGTTTGTCAGTGGTGCTCAGGATCTGCAAATCATTCGACATCATCCTATCAGTCATCTCTCCTTACTCTGTTTATGTTGTAAGTGAAATGTT